CTGGGAAATTAAAAGATTTTTATGACCCTGAGTTAATTTTTAATCATGAGATCATAAAGCAAACACTACTTTCCACTAACAATCATTTGATCCATATTTGAAGACACTGTATATAAAGCAACTTTTCAAAAACTGAATTTCTAAAAAAAACCCCAAAACTGTATTTCTAACTCTAACTCAAGTATACACCAAAATACTCTATATTAAATAGCAACATAACAGAATATTTCAAAAATGTTATTGGTTATTTAAATAGAAAGAATGTGTATTGAAGACACTTATAAGGAGTGAATTTCACAAAGTAAAAACTCAAAAATCTTTTTATCAGTATTTTTTACTAAACAAAAAATTTAACCTCATATTTTACATTATAACCTTCTACTTATGCTTTATATTAATGTAGAGAAGTTTCCATATAAAGTGCTAAAAAATGGGAGAGGGTACATAACAAACACTTTCTATACATAAGAGAATACATGAGAGCCGGGACCGGTTTGGCTCAGTGGATAGAGCGTCGGCCTGTGGACTGAAAGGTCCCAGGTTCGATTCTGGTCAAGGGCATGTACCTTGGTTGCGGGCACATCCCCAGTAGGGAGTGTGCAAGAGGCAGCTGATCAATGACTCTCTCTCATCGATGTTTCTAACTCTCTATCCCTCTCTCTTCCTCTCTGTGAAAAATCAATGAAAAAAATATATTATTAAAAAAAAGAGAATACATGAGATACCCTGGGGATGTACACATCAATGAGATGATTTAATCTCAAGGAGCTTATATAACAGACAATCATGACTAACCTACTACAAAACAGAATGTGACTAAGTGCTTAAAAGAGAGGACTGTGAAGCTCAAAGCCATTTACTCCAAACTCCTGTTCTAAATATGAAAAAAAACAACAAAAAAACCCACAAGCTAACAGAAATCATAAAACAAGATAATGCACAGCCAGAAGGCAAATCTCTGTCTTGTTGCCAAGTTCAATCAATGCTTCTTCCACTCTACCATGCTGTCTCTCATTCGATCTTTTTTCTATCAGTTTTTATTTATTTATTTTTTAACTGTATTATTATTCCATTATTAAGAAATTCACCTCTATTACGGTCATGAAATTCAGGCTGGGTTAACTGACGAGTTTTTGAGTTACCTAAACCTCACTCTGGACTTCCTGGTTATAACCACTGTCTATCTCAACTGAAAGCCAGGCTCAGGAAGCCTCAATCCCTACCCTCTCATTCCTGTGAGATGCCAAAGCCAACTATGGAGGAGCTTTTTTCAGAGGAGAAGAGGACTGTCTTTTCAGACGACAAACCCTCTACTTTGCCTTAAAAGGCAGATAGCAACCCAAACCACAAACAGATTGTGACCTCAAAACCTCAATTCTACCATTTTTAATAACAAGTAAAGGATAACATTGATGGAATTTCTAATAAATAAATAAAAACATAACAAATTTATGTTTTCTCTAATAAATAAAAATTTGGTCTAAACCAAGCATCTTCTTATAAACATACACTCAATACCTAAAGAAATGTGTAATATCATAGGACCAACTACTGTGAATTACACTTATTAAAATGTATTTAGTGCTTACCATATGGCAGGTCACTGTGCTAAGTGCTTTATGAGCATCTCATTTAACCCTCACAACAACCTCTGAAGTGGGTATTGTGACGATGTCCATTTTTTTCAGATGAGGCAACAAATGATAACTGTTCAAATTCATATTAGAAGTGGTGAATCCGGCCTGACTACAAAGCATGCTCTTACAACAATGCCACTACAACACCTACTAGAAAATATATATATACATTTAAAATTGATAGTTGAAACTCAATGATGAGCCTATGATCTATACTGGAAGATAATAATGATTTTCTAAATTTCTCTTACAGTCTCTGTTTAAATTATATGTCACTGTTCTTATACCTGGGGAGAAGCTAAGGTTAGCAAATGGAACCTTATGAAGCTTCATATAAGAAACTCTGAAATAAAGAAATAGGCCATTCAAGCAATGGCTGGAGCATAAAACGAAGAAAAAATAAGCCAAATCACAGAAATATACTTAAAATTTAATCACTCAAAAGTAATTTTTACACTAAAGTCAACATGATTTTGATTATAGGCAAGAAGTATGTCAGCAAACAGCTAAAAGCCTAGCATCTAAAAAACACCCAGGATCCAGTACATAAAAACAGAAAAATCTGAGTTCTCATAAAAGTCAAACTGATAACTGGCATAAAGGACAGATGTACAGACCAATGAAATAGAACTGAGAGACCAGAAATAAACCCTAACATTTATGTGTCAGCTTAGACTGCCATAACAAAGCATCATAGACTAGTGGCTTAACCAAAATAAATTTATTTCTTACAATTCTGAAAGCTGGAAGTCCAAGATCAGGGTGCCACCATGGTCAGGTTCTGGTGAGAACTCTCTTTATGGCTTGTAGTTAGTCAACTTCTTGCTGTATCCTCACACGGCAGAGACAGAGAGAACTCCCTGGTATATCTTCTTACAAGGACACTATTCCCATCATGAGGGTCCCACCCTCATGCCCTCATTTAAATCTAATTACCACCCAAAGGCACCAAATATAGTCCCTGAATATCATCACACTGGAGGTTATGACTTCAACATATAAGTTTCGGGGTAAAACAATTCAGTCCATAGCAAGGGGCAATGGGTTTTCAACAAGGATGTAGAGGCAATCTTATGGAGAAAGAAGTCTCTTCAAAAATGGTCCTGGAATAACTAGATATCACACACAAAAGAATGAAGTTGGACCCTTCCTTATATAAAAAACAAACTCTTTTTTGGCTAGCATATGGCTCCATAAACCCTTTCTTTAAAAAGATAAAATAAAATAAAAGCATCCTATCCTATATAATAAAAGGTAACATGCAAAGTAACTGAATGGCAAAACGACCAGTAACTATGAGGTGCACTTACCACCAGGGGGCAGACGCTCACAGGAGCTGACCCCTGATGGTCAGTGTGCTCCAACAGGGGGAGCACCACTCAGCCAGAAGCCGCTCATGGCTGGCAAGCACAGCAGCGTGGCAGGAGCCTCTCCCGCCTCTGCGACAGCACTAAGGATGTCCTACTGACGCCTTAGGCCTATATGTCTGTCCTTAATTCAGTTTGAAGATCTGCTCTTCTTATCCTCTGGTAATGACACTTTGAGGCCCCCAAGAGGCAATGCCTCATCCCTAGCTCAGAATGTCTTATACCTCAGTCCCCTTTTCTATCTCTGCTCATCTTATATATGTGGCATTCCCATGGGCGCGAGATTAGATTTCTTTACTCCTGACAATCTGCCTCCTGTTGATTTGATTATTTGGCCAGCCAAAAGAACCAGAGGAGGGAAAGAGAAAATTTTCCCCTTCCTCACACTTACTATCAATCACTGAAATAAAATACCACTAGCCAGTACATACCTAGCCCTTCACACATGACATTGCCCAAAATAGGGCACAATAAATATCTACTAAGTGTATGTGAGGGGTGGTAGGACAGAAAACCACTAAAATATTATTAGAATGATACTAACTTCATATATTAGAGAAAAGGAAGAAATGATGGGATGGCAGTATTTAAATTACTGAAATGAAATACAAATAAACATCTCAAGATTTATAAACATAAAAAACTTAGTTAACAATTTTTATAATGCTCATTCGTATGCCAGGCATCTTACATTTGAGGAAATTCCAGGAACATAGGGATTAAGTGTGAGGCACACAGCTACCAAATGGTAGAGCAGGGAATTTGATTCCAGGCACTTTAGTCCTAAAGCCCATGTTCTTAAACACTAAGACAGCAATTTTCAACTGGTGTGCTGCAAGAATTTCTAAAACATGTAATACCTGACTATTTAGTCGGGTCACTGGACTCTTTTTCCTTAGATTGTCAAATTTAAAAAATGACAACAGCCAACATAACAATAGGTAATTGGATGTGAATAAATAAAAATTATACTGATTTTTGTCAGATCGGCAAAAAACGTTTTAAAAAATTTGTAGGCTGTAGTATTGTAGTAATTATTTTATATGTGCCATAAGATAAAAAAGGTTGAAAATCAATGTACTAAGGTATTTAAGACCTCTCTAAAGTCCTTTAAATAGGTTCTTTAAAAAGAGATGTAAAGATATAATTTTGAGTAAATACATTAGAAAGTACTTTTCCTTGGATACATTTAGCAAAAATTAGTGTCAAATAATTATACAATTGAACAGATAACAGCAAAGCATCTAAACTGAATTCTATTCGATTAGAAATGGGGATTAACATAAAGTACTTTATCCCATTACTTAACAACGAGCATTCTCTAACTTCACCAAAAACAAGTTCAATGGAAGTTCTATTTTCAAAAATGTTGACCACATACAAGTCAAGAAAATAAAATTTATGATCTCATATTTTTATAAACATACATAATTTACTTAAAGCTTTCTGTATCAATAATATAGAGATCAATATAGCAATGGTTCTCAACAGAGGGCAGATTTACCCCGGAGAACTTGTGGAAGGTCTGGAGATATTTTGGGTGTCACACCTGTGGGGGAGGAGCTCTACGAAGGATGCGGAGGGGAAGTGCTACTGATATCTAGTGGCTACAGGCCAGGGATGCTGCTAAACATCCTAAAATGCACAGCACAGCCCTTACAACAAAGAATTATTTAACCCAAAATGTCAACAGTGCTGCTGTTGAGAAATTCTGGCATAGAGTAATTCATTCAAATTAACAGATAGCTCACTACTCATTTCTTCTCTCTGAGGATCAATCTCAAGTTAGTATGTAGCCTCTACCAATACTAAGTCTCCTGATACTCTAATACTAATACTTAGCCTCTACTAATACTAAGTTAAGATAATTTGGAATTTAAATGAATGGATTTTTCTTAGAAGTTTATAAAAATATATTACATGACATATACACGTTTTAAAAATGATTACACATTAGACTTAAATATAAGAGAAAAAAAGTAAAGAAAGCACTTACTGTAAAAATGTTCTAAATTCTGAAGCTTCAAAGTTCTCCACAGCAATAGGCTCCTGATTTGTTAAATTATTTGATATTTGTCCAATACTATGAAAATAGAAGTCAGGAACCCTTGCAAAAAGGACTGCTCTGTGTGCTTTGAACACAGTACAACCTATAGAGAAAGTAACATCTGTATGGATTTCTTCCCTTAGAAGCCTGTCAGGAATAAAAAGGAACAATAGTTTAATTAGTGATACTCACAGATATATAATACTAGAGGCACAAAATTTGTATGGGGGATGTGTCCCTCAGCCTGGCCTGCACCCTCTTCAATCTGGGACCCCTCGGGGGATGCCCGACTGCCGGTTTATACCTGGAGGATCAGGCCTAAATCAGCAGTCGGACATCCCTCTCACAATCCAGGACCACTGGCTCCTAACTGTTCACCTGCCTGCCGGCCTGATTCCCCTACTTGCTCTCCCCTGCCAGCCTGATCCCCCTAACTGTTCTCCCCTGCCATCCTGCTCGCCCCTAACCACCTCTGCCTTGGCCCAGCCACCATGGCTTTGTCTAGACAGATGTCGGAAGGTCATCTGGAAGATGTCCGGTCTAATTAGCAAATTACTCTTTTATTAGTATAGATAGCCATTTTTATAAAGTAAGTTTTAAAAATATCACAAAATAAATACAGAGGTAACATAAAATAAATATCTTAATATAAAAATGAGTTTGTTCTTGGTTCATTCGAAGAACACTATTTAATATTGGCTATGAGTCTAATTTTCCAAAAGTTATATGTGAAAATCAAAGTAATTTCACTAAAAGAGTAAGACTACTTTTTCAAAAACTATTTTTTATTCCTTTTAATAGTAGTAATATTTATTTCCTGCTATTTGTGTTGATTTTCTATTTTAGGTTTATTTTGAGAAAAACAAAGGAATAATATAGCTGACATTGTGCAGAATCAATTTTTTTTAAATCTTACTAAAACTGAAGTAAAAAAAGTAAACAGTCAACAACGCCAGCAAACCAGATATAACAATAGATAATACAGATTAGAAACCGGTACACTTTGTTCTGACCACTGTTAAATACCAAATCTGAAAGGCAGACTTGGCTTCAAGAATGTGACATTTAGCCCTTTTCCACCACCACCCCCATAACAAACACAACTAACCATACTCTGGTCTATTATTAAAATGATTTTAAACCCATTTAAATTATTTTATTAACGTATAGACATAGCCCACTGGTAATATGTGTGGTAAGGTGATGGAAGAACAGAAATCAGCATAATAGAAACTGTGATAATATAATCTTTGTCTCCATGTTAAGTTTTTATTTTACTTCATATTACTATAACATTATCATGAACAAGATATGTATTCTCAGAGGACTTGTATTTGCAGGGTATAATTGGCAATCACACCAGTTCACTATAGGAGTCCAAGTAATAGATAAAGATATCCATTACAGTGAAAGCTTAGAATGTTGCCATTAACACACTCCCCTAAGACCAAGTTAATGGCTCTTTTTCTGTTCCCATTGCACTCAGTACATACCTCTATTACAGTACTTCTGTCATTGCATCACCATTTTTATGTGTCTTTTTCCCGATTAGACAATGAACTCCCCAAAGGCAAAAATTCTGTATCTACAGTATATACTAAGAGCTCAATATTTGCTGTTAAATTTTGTTATATTTTATCCTAAACAAGACAAATGCTTCAGAGCAAAGCTTTTAGAAAGCTGGAAATGATGAGCAAACAGATGCATTTTAGTCAACACTTTCATCAATAATTTATTCTCATAGTTGATTTTTAAAGTTATGCAAAAATATATTGGTTTCACAAAAATTAATACAAATTCAAATTGTACAAATAATTATTCATTCTTCCCACCAACCTTCTTTCCATCCCCCACTTCACCAAGGAAGTTGGTAGCCATATAACCTTCACTAGAGAATCTGTTTTGCTCACAATAGATGCTCATGAGTATTTAAAATATTTTAAAAATTAATGTGTTAAAAATTGTTAATGTGAATATATAGTTTTTTATTTTATAAAACCACTTGAATCAGTTACAAATAACAACATCTGACTTGGACCTCTTAAGAAAGGTTTATTGGCTCAGCTAATAGTAAGATCTAAAGGAAGGACGGGTTAGAGCAGTGGTTGGCAAACTCATTAGTCAACAGAGCTAAATATTAATAGTAAGATTGAAATCTCTTTTGAGAGCCAAATGTTTTAAACTTCTTCTAACGCCACTTCTTCAAAATAGCCCAGGCCGTGGTATTTTGTGGAAGAGCCACACTCAAGGGGCCAAAGAGCCACATATGGCTTGTGAACCGCAGTTTGCAGACCCCGGGGTTAGAGCAAAGACTCAACGATGTCAAGGCCCAACTTCTCCCCACATCATTTCTCTACCAACAACTACTATATTAACCTATCTAAAGCATTTTAGACTGATTGAACCTAATTATCACTAAAATATTTATTGGACAAGTACTATGTACTAAGCACTGGGGGCATAAACATGCCTAAAACAAACATAGTATCAGCCCTCAAAGAGTATATAAAATAATAGTAGTGAGGGCATGCCTGAAAATTGAAGAGCATGATATATTCAATAACACAAATAAGTAAATATATCTGTTCAGAGACAGACATAAGAGAAACCTTATAGAGAACATGAAAACCAAATGGGATTTTCAAGATTGAGTAAGAGTTGGTCAGAGAAACAAAGCAAGGTAGAAAGGAGTTCCTGATATATATGAGTGTAGAGCTACAAATTGGTCAGCAAAGTATTGAGATGAGAAATGAAAGATGAAGCTATAGGGATAAAGATGAATAAGAGGCAAAGAGCCTGGCTCAGTGGTTGAGTGTCAACCTATGAACCAAGAAATCATGGTTCAATTACAGATCAGGGCACATGCTCGGGTTATGCGCTTGATCCCCAGTGTGGGGCCTGCAAGAGGCAACTGATTAATGATTCTCTCTCATTATTGATGTTTCTATCTCGCTCCCCCTTCTTCTCTGAAATCAATAAAAATATATTTCTTTAAAAAAAAAAGAGGCATAGAGGCTAACTCTATCTTACAGTTGAAGGGGAATCACCAAATGGTTCAAAATGTGAATAAATTTATTTTTCAAAATATCACCTGTTTGCTGTGTAGGAGAGGAATTATGGGAACATGAGAATGAAGAATGAAGATGAGAAGACTACTATATAGCCCAGATGAATGATATAAAGGAATTATGCCAGGAGAAAATGAATGGTGACAGAAAATAAGGATATAATTAAAATATATTTAGGTAATAAAACTGGCAATAGTTGGTGACTGGATGTAGAAGGTGATGGGAATAAGCCAGGATCTCTCCATTATTTGGTTTGGACAACTGGATGCTGGTGATGCCACCAACCTTTAATCTATATCTGTTCTCCCAATTTCCCTACTATACTCCAGACATATTTCCAAAGGTCTCTTTGATATGGCTTTCTGAACATTCACCATATTCCTCCCTTTCAAATGTCCTAATATTGGACACCATCTTCTATGTTTTCCTCTCCCTGTTCCTCCACATGTAACTGGTCACCAAGCTCATTGATTGCCATATGAATCCCTTTCACCTTTTCTATTTACGCCACCATTATGTATCTCCAACTATTACAAAATCTCCTGGCTGGTTTCTTTGTTTCAATTTCTCTTTCCTCAGTTCAAAACCTAAATACGTTGATCCTTTATTTAAAAATAAAAACCACCAATGGGTATACCTGAAACTAATCTTATATAATAAAAGAGTAATATGCAAATTGACCATCACTTCAACACACAATAGCTGCCCCCATGTGGCCAAAGATGGCTGTCCCCATGTGGACACAAGGAGGCAACAAGATGGCCAGCAGGGGAGGGCAGTTGGGAGGCACCAGGCCTGCAAGGGAGGGCAGCTGAGAGGGACCAGGACTGCAAGGAAGGGAAGTTGGAGGCAATCAACCCTGCAGGGGAAGACAGTTAGGGGTGACCAGGCTGGCAGAGGAGGGAAGTTGGGGGCAAACAGGCTGGCAGGGAAGCAATTAGACATCAATCAGGCTGGAATGGGAGTGATCAGGCTGGCAGGCAGAAGCGGTTAGGGGCAATCAGGAAGGCAGGCAGGCGAGCAGTTGGGAGCCCAGTGGGATCAGGCCTAAACGGGCAATCGGACATCCCTCAAGGGGTCCCATATTGGAGAGGGTGCAGGCTGGGCTGAGGGTCACCCTCCCCCAGCTCGGTGCATGAATTCTGTGCACCGGGCCTCTAATATAAAATAATACTTGATGTTAAAAAAAAAAAAAAAAAAAAGCCCCCCCTAAAACCAATGGCTTTTCATTGCCTCCACATACATTCCAAACTCTTTACTGAAAAAAATGGCCTCCATAATTTAGTGTCACTTTATCTTTTTACCTCAACTACTGTCACTCTGATTGCCTGCCAAACCCACAATCCCCTCCTAAATAAAGCTGACAAATTTGTTTATTATTTATATACTAGAGGCATGGTACATGAATTAGTACACCAGTGGGGGTCCCTCAGCCTGACCTGCAGGGATTGGGCCGGAACTGGCTCTCTGACATCCCCCAAGGGGTCCTGGATTATGGAAGGGCACAGGCCAGGACAAGGGATCCCACCGGTGCACCACGGGAGGGTTCCAGGGTGTGCCTGGCCCGTCTCATCCAGTCCCAATCAGCTGGACCCCAGCAGCAAGCTAACCTACCAGCTGGAGCATCTGGTGGTCAGTACATGTCATAGCAACTGGTCAACAGTCGGACACTTAGCACATTAGGCTTTTATTAGCATCACACGATCCTAATCCTCTTAACCACATCTGAATGGGCACAGACTGAGCCAAGGTTAGCCATTAGCCAATGTGGTAAACAAGTAAACTCTGGCAGAAATATTCTATAGTAAACAGGGACCAACTGACCGCACTCTAAGTGTTGTAAAGCTGACCCAAAATAGAGTAAGAAAAAGAAATGTGAGAAGCAAAGATGAAGGAACAAAGTTACTGGAAGATCAGTTTATATCAGAGAAAGCAGACTGGGTTCAAATTCTGGTTACTTGGGCAAGTAACTCTAATATCTCTGGAGCCAGACTGTCAACATTCTTCTTCCAACTCCACTGCTTGTTCTCTAATGCTCAGTTTCCTTGTATGATGACTGGTTTAGCTCAGTGGTGGAGCGTTGGCCTGCGGATTCAAGGGTCTTAGGTTCGATTCTAGTCAAGGGCATGTACTTTGGTTGCGGGCACATCCCCAGAAGGGAGTGTGCAGGAGGCAGTTGATTGATGTTTTTCTCTCATCGATGTTTCTAACTTTCTATCCTTCTCCCTTCCTCTCTGTCAAAAATCAATAAAATATATATTTTTAAAAAATGAATGGGGATAACAAGATTTACCTTACAGAGGAGTTTATAAACCATTATGTATCAGTCCAGGGTCTAGCTAATAGTAAGATGGCAAGAAGTATTATATGTTTTTACTACAATTGTCCTGAATAATGGTCCATTTCACAGTTGCTGTTATATCCCCAGCAACTTTCCAATTCTCCATCAGATCTCAGATTTGGCTTTTTTTATGTTGAAACTGTTTGTTTTGCCTTACTTCTCCGTATTTCCTAATGCCTCAGGTAACCCAAAGGTGTTTCTGTTCCTTGCTGTTTAGAAGAATCTAATACAACTTGCTTCCCGAGATTATATCAAGCTCTTTCCAATCTCCATTCCCCTTGTTTAAATACCCTCTGATTTCTCCCTTACTAATCTCTACCTAATCAATTTTAATCAGCCCCCAGAGATCATTCAGATGCTACCTTACAAAGCTTTCTACAACTCACGGGCGTCCCAACATCACTTTAGTTTGGTTATTCTCTCTCTCACTAGAGTGTAAACACAAACACCAAAGCCATATCCTATTAATCTTTGATTCTACAGGAGTTTGCTCCTAACAGAGCCAGATGGGTGCTAGCTACTTCATTACTATTTGTAAAATAAATCAATGATATTGCTGTGCTTGAAGAATTTAGCATTTAAGGTGGCTGGGTGAGTATGTGAAGATTTTTTTAATTAAAAAGATGCTGCACCTATTTTTTAATTTTTTACTTTTTTAGAGAGAGTGGTAGGAGAGTGACAGAGAAGAGATACATCAATGTAGAGGTACATGCCCTTGACAGGAACCGAACTTGGTACCCTTCAGTCCAAAGGCCTATGCTCTATCCACAGAGTCAAACTGGCTAGGGCCTGCACCTGGTTTTTTTTAAAAAATTTTTTTTTCAACTAGAGACCCGGTGCATGAAAATTCGTGCACTCAGGGGTCCCTCAGCCCAGCGTGCATCCTCTCACAGCCCAGGACCCCTCAGGGTATGTCCACCTGCTGGCTCCCCAGGGGATTGGGCCTAAGCTGGCAGACATCCCTCTGGGAGGCTGGGAGCCCTAGGGGGATGTGCAACTGATGGCTTAGGCCCACTCCCTGCAATCACATACCCTTGGAGCTGTGGAGGAGGCAGAAGAGGCTCCAGCCACCACCGCTTACAGCCATGAGCCCAATTGTAGCTGAGTAGTGCTCCCCCTGTGGGAGCACACTGACCACCAGGGGACAGCCCCTGCATTGAGCATCTTCCCCCTGGTGGTCAGTGCTCCTCACAGCAACCAGCAGTTCTGGTCTTTTTGCCTTGATGGTCAATTTGCATATTACCCTTTTGTTATATAGGATAAGAAGTTGGGAACGCAGGGTCCTGTCCTTAACAGCTGCTAGAATGAAGATATAAATTCTTCACCTGCTGTACTGTGAACCTAGTTTTCTTTATATAAATTAAATACGTTATCTTCCTTAAATTCATGACTCTTTCTGCCCACAATGCAGCCAGAAGAATAAAGTCACGGAAGAGGGGCACCTCATCCTTAGAGACTCGCCCTAGAAACAGAACAACTTCGGACTTGTTTTCCCCATGTTTTCCATCCATCCACCACTGGTGCAGACAAAGGAGCATCTCTGGTGGATAGGCCCATCCAAATGAAAAGGAAATGTTTTTAACCTTATAAAGTTCATTTTATAGCTGCTGGAGCCTTTTTAGTGTGAGCGAAAGTGCTTTTTAAAAAACGTAGAAAACTGCACAGCTGTTATTATAGTAACTAAGTTTACTCTAGCGCAGTAGTTCTCACAGTGTGGCTCAGGCCAGCAGCATCAGCATCACCTGGGACCTTGTTAGAAATGCAAAAACTTCAGGCCCCACCTGGACCCAATGAATCAGACCTATGGTCTGGGTCTGGGACCCGGTACATGTAAATTTAACAGGTCCTCCAGGTGATTGTGATGCACGTTAAAGTTTAAGCATCAATGTTTTGGTGGAAATGGAAATTAGCTGGAGGATACTAATAAGCTTCATTTTCTTTAGAAACTGAGGTGACTTTGGCTGGATTTACCGTAGTCTGGGTTAAGTGTCCCAACAACCCTCCCTCTGCTTGGGTCTGCAGGGAGCGCGCCGCCGCCGGGAGCTGGGGAGGGTTGTAGGTGGAGAGGGGAAGCAGGTGGCAATAGGGAAGAATTTCTATGTCAGCATTTGTGATGCATTGTTTAAAGACAGCTTGGAAGAAAGAGACCTCCACGGCTCCATCCAGTAACTTGTCCTATTTTTCCTCATTCTAAATTTTTTTTCTGCCTAATTTTATCATTTTTTCCCTTAAAACTGCTTAAAGCTTAGCAAAACGTGTACGTCCCAGGACCGCGAACCCTGGAGGCACCCCGACCTTTGGCATCCATTGGTAACTACGGTGTTGATTTTGGTTTTCTTTTGGAACCTGGTACGCGGTCCCCGCGCAGCTCGGGCTGGTTCTTGCGGGGAGGAGACCGCCGGACCCCGCGCGCCGGCCCGGGGCGCGGGGAACCAGGCGGGACGGCGCCGGAGAAGAGGCGCGGCGGCGTCGGGGGGCGGAGGTGGGCGCGCGGGGAACCGAAGCGGCTGAGTCCCCGCCGCCTCCTACCTGAGCAGGTCCTGGCTGAGCCGCTCCGACACCTCCGCCTGCAGCCGGCGCCGCTCGCACGGCCCCCTCCGCGGCGGCCCCGGGGTGCCCGCTGCGGGGGCCCCCGCCGGCGCCGTCGGGGCCGCGCCGCCCTCCCCGCGCCGGGCCATGTTGCGCGGAGGCCGGCGGCGCCGCGGGGCTCCCGGCGCAGCCTCACGCCCCACCTCCGGGGGAAAGGGGCGGCTCCGACCGACCGCTCGGCTCCGACCGGAACCCGCCCCCTCGGGGAGAAGGGGCCGCCTCCCGTCGGTGTGTAGACGGTCGCTGACGGCGGAGCCCGGGACAACCCGGGGGCGGGGCCGCGCCGGCACGTGACCCGGGAGGCTGTGCGCAGGCGCAGTAGCTGTGTTTACCTCTGCCGGCTGGTACCGGCCCCTCTTGGCTCCAGCGGGAAACGGTTCCCCCGGGACTAGCCAGTCCCTGGTGGTCCTCATCCCCGCTCCTCTTCGCCACGTCATTCATTTTCATAAATGCTTCATTGAAAGCTAAGATCTAATCAAACCTTGCAGCCTTTCTGCGCTGTGTGGATGTCAGACACACACACAAAAGGTTCACAAGACCCTTCCAGCGGTCTGTACCTTGATTGTCTGGGAGACCTTGGTTGCAGGATCCTCCCCAGCCGGACCCTGGTCGGGGCTCGTATAGGAGGCAACCAATCAATGTGTTTCTCTCACGTTGATATTTCTCTCTTTCCCGCTCTCTCCCAAGCTCTCTAAAAATCAGTACAAAAATATCCTCACGTGAGAATTTAAAAATAGAAGAAAAATATTATATGTATTATATACTTATGTATTAGCTGTAAGCTACAGATTGGTTTGACCTGTATTTGTTTTACAATAAATATAATTTTGTGTTACGTATTATGTTAAACATTTTGAGTAAAAAAGTAGAGTATAATAGCCTAGCCCATATGGTTCAGTGGTTGAACATTGGCCCTTGTACTAAGAGGTCACCTGTTGGATTCCATCCAGGTTAGGGCATATGCCTGGGTTGTGGGCTTGATCCCCAGGAGGGGGTGTGTACTAGAGGCAGCCAGCAGCTGATGGATGTTGATGGTTTCTCTCATCCATCCATGCTTCTATCTCTCCTGCTCTCTTCCTCTTTCTCTCTCCCTAAAATCAATAAAAACATATATTAAAAAAACAAACAAAACAACCCTGTAGATTATAATAAATGACCAGGAATTCCGCTTCTGGTTTGATGGAGGGGGCTTTGCTGAGGGTCACATTAAGCTTCCAGTGGTTTCAGGGGCATCTTTAAGAGTCAGCCACATGGAAGAAGACATCAAGACCAAAATAAATAGCTACCCTTTAAACAGCCACTTCAACCAGAAACCGTTATCCAACCTACCTGGACCTCCTCCACTGTGAGAAGGCAATGACCACTGGGTGGGGGGGGAAGTGATGTCTCCATGTGCAAATGGCACCAGCCTGTGTGAAAGTCCCTCCATCCCATATCCTGGGACCACCATGGGGCAAAAGGCAGCTTCCTGAGAAGATCTGAACTGGTTACATCCCACCCTGGGATTCTGAACCATGGGTTAACTAATATTAAATACTTGCTGGAAAAGTGAAGAATAAATAAATGACTGATATTTTATATAGTTCATTTTCTAATTAGCGTTTTAGAGTTAAGCAGATGTTTGAGTAATGTACCATTTTTTTTTCAATAAAGATATACCTTGGCATCTGCTTGTAAGTGAAAATCTCTTATTCACCTTACTATTTTCCAGAGCATCTATTGATAAAAACTTACTGTATTTGAATTACATGTGTGTACTATTACCATGGAAATATTTGTATCCTCCCCGAATTCAAAAATGGAAAACTAATCCCCCATGTGATGGTATTTGGAGATGGGGCCTTTAGGAGGTGACTAGATGGTAAGGGTGAAGCCCTCAGGAATGGGGTTAGTAACCTTATATAATAAAAGACACTCCAGAGAGCTCTCTCCCTGGTTTACTGAGGACACAGCAAGAAGATAGCCACTCATCTATGTACCAGGAAGCAAGCTTGCACCAGACACCAAGTAGGCCAGTGCATTGAACTTTCCAGCATCCAAACTGTGAGAAATAATTGTTATTTAAATTACTTAGCTATAGTATTTTAGTTGTGGCAGCCCAAATGGACTGAGACAGAAAGGATTATGAAATATCATTTAATGATCCCCTCTTCTTGGGTGAGATCTACATGGAAATTATCTGAAAACTATCATTGGTGTTTTTCTTTCCCTTTCCCTCAGCTTTCCCCATCTGCTTAAATTTCTCCCATTCATTTCTTCTTTAAAATACCAGGAAACTAACTAATGAAGTTTAAGCTTTAGAGGCCCTATTTGCACAAGCTTATTCCAAATCTCTCTAAGTAAGATTCCTAGAAATGTGTCTACTTGAGTATGTTTTTTTTGTAAAGTTTGCAAAACTAAGAGATGGTGACCACAAATGATCAAGACTTACTCCTTAGTCAAATGATACTGAGTGGCTACAGGCAATTTGGAGACTTGGCCACAATGAAACTAAGTTGGGGATACAGTAGTTTAGATTAGCAAGGAATATTTATTGAATATTTATCGAAAATCACTTCCACATTTATGAAAGTTGCTCCCTGTTCTAGTGTAGGAATGTCTTCTAGGAATACTCGTTGATTCATCCCATGTGGTGACATGAAGTGACAGAACCCAAAGTCACGTCATTATGTGAAGATGTCTTATAGCAAAGGGTCCTGGAAATATATGGGTAGTGAAGGGGATGCACAACAGTAAGTAGAGGCTTCAGTTCTCATTGGTGTCTAGTCAGAACAAAAGGATTATTCTCAGTAATGCAGAACATGCAGTTTTTCCCTTTCTTTGAAAATCATACAAATAGAATTTGTCAGAATTCCTGTATTTATAATCTTTGTTTGTGATATTAGCTTTCCAGAAGTTGTAGACTGCCCCAACCGGGTGTAGCTCAGTGGTTGAGCGTCAACTCAGGAACCAAGAGGTCACGGGTTCAGTTCTTGGTCAGGGCACATGCCCAGGTTGCGGGCTCGATCCCCAGTGGGGGACATTCTTTCTCATCATTGATGTTTCTATCTCTCTCTCCCTCTCCCTTCCTCTCTAAAATCAATTAAAAAAAAAAAGAAGTTGTAGTCTGTTGTGATTTTTTTTTCCTCTCATTTTATATAATACTTCCATACCTAAAAAAAAAAAAATAATAATGGACAGCCATACCATATATAACTGTTTCAATGGTATTCCCAATAATATATCTTCCTCTTTATTTTTATTTCCTCTTATAGAATAAGAATATTTGGGCTACTTTGAGAAATGGTAAGGAGCAAATCTTTTTTTAGAGAGAATAAAAATAATTTAATGTATTTATTTATTGCCAGTGGAGCTCTTAATGAGGTATTTTCTCTGCAAACATGAGGGAGAAATGATGGGCTATAATGTTCCTCTGGCCTTGTTTGAGCAGAATAAAGGCACTTATTTTACTTACTGGAAGTACTTCACAATCCCCACTGTTTCCGCCCATTTGGACTGCCATAGCAACAATATCTGTGCCTTTATTTTACTCAAAGTAAGTAAAATAAAAGCACAAGATATTTCTCCTGTGCCTTTCTCTTCCTCTCTGTAAAAAAAAATCAATAAAATATATTTAAAAAGAAAAGAAAAGAAAAGAAAATTTTACTCCAAGAAAGTAAAATAAAGGCACTAAGTAGAACCATGCTCGGTGAACAAAGTTCATGACTAGATCTCTTATTCTTCTACCACCAAGTTACACTAAAATAACTATATTGATCCTAGAAGGATGGCATCTGTGGTGCAGGAGTGTGACTCTGCACAGAGGTCCTGGGAGATGTCCCCTCAGCTCCCTCTCCAGATCCACAGACCCCAGTCTCTCCTCACACAACTGGCTCCCATCTGGCCTCCCTACTCTGGATTCCAGGAGTTGTGGTTCAGGCACAGCAAGGTAACTTCCATTGGACAAATCCTCATACTGATAATAAGTTTAAAAGCTAAGAAATATGTAAGAAAATAAAAATTTTGCCGAAGCCGGTTTGGCTCAGTGGATAGAATGTCGGCCTGCAGACTGAAAGGTCCCAGGTTTGAGTCCGGTAAAGGGCATATACTTTGGTTGCGGGCACACCCCCAGTAGGGGTGTGCAAGAGGCAGCTGATCAATGATTCTCTCTCATCGATGTTTCTAACTCTCTATCCCTCTCTCTTCCTCTCTGTAAAAAAATCAATAAAATATATTTTAAAAAATAAATAAAAATTTGAAGGCCTTAGAGAGGAACCAAACTAAACAAACTGGTGGCTATGATCCAAGAAAGCGAGCACACAGATGTCACGAATCAGAGACCCCATGCCCAAAGGAGACATCACCTCTGTGCGTGAGGAAGTAGAGAAAAGGCAGCAGTGCATTCCATGTACTAGTAGGTTTATCATTGAAAGGGCAGAGCAAGGCTATAAGAAGAACTTCCCTTTTTGTTGGAGAGCCAACCCTATGTGCACTTAGTGTTATCTCGATGCTGGCCTTGTGCACCACCCTTGACCAATCAGGAGGTAGCGGAGCATAGCTCAGACCCAGGAATATGTTAATCATTTCCTGTTCTTTGTGCCGTAATTACCTGCTGTAAAACCCTGACCTGGAACTGACCAATCGGGGTCAGCCAACTCTGGTCTGATCCTCCCCCTCCCCATACCCCTATAAAACCCTTTGTTCTGTTGAAGCTCGCTCTCTTTTCCACTTCGCTGCTGCGCTGGTGTATGTGGGACTGTGCTTGGGCTAGCTTGAATAAAAGGCTCTTTGCTTTTGCATCGAACACGGCTCCCTGGTGGTCTTTGGGGATCAAAAAATCTGGGCATAACAATCATGATAAACTCTCAGGCTGACAGAGGGTGGTCTCACATGAACTGATGAACAATGGGTGGTGCCATTATCAGGTACTTTTCATATGGAAAAAAAAATACAAAATAGACTATAGAATTGAACCATCTTACATGACAGAATATTAAACACATATTTCATATGTCCACCTACTGATCATTTGCTCAGATGAAACATTAAGGTTAGCAGTTTACACATATAACATTCTGTTGGCTATTCTGTCATTATTGCAAAGAACATGTTCGCACTATGTACATTTATTAGACTGTCAGTTACTGTTAAAATTCCATAATGATGGAGAATCAAAACCACCCAGTTAAAAATAGCTTTTGTGAGAAAAAACAAACAACAACATACAAAAAAAACAACTACCATGATGAGAATTAGCTCTTCTGGACATAAGGGAGGGGAGAGAGGGGTGGGCTGAGAGGACAGCAGTGGTTGCTGATGAACGGGATTTTTGAACTGGAACATGCAGTGTTCCCCTGAGCAGCATGGCTTCCCCGGATTCTTTGTCCATTGGAGTTAAAGAATGGAACCATGGATGGAAGATGGTATAGCAAAGGTGGAAATTTATTGAAGAACAAGCACAGACTCCCATGTATGGAGGGGGAAAGAATCCCACTGAGTTCCCTTTTCCTGGTTTATAAAGGCTACAGTTTTTATGCCTTGATATCCCCTTTGATTGGCCACTATTCCCTTTGATTTGGTCACTATAGCAACTCCTGAGCTCAAAGATCAAACCTCACATGGGATGTGTGAGGCCGTCCTACTTTATTTTATAAATATAGACCTTTGGCTACTCACAGTTCCCTTATCTTATGGAAATGTAACTTCTGCCTTTCCCTTGTCTTATGGAAATGTATCATTTTGCAACTCTGTATCCCTGTGTTTTTTCCACGGACCCCCTTAATTTTAAAAATTCCCTAAACCTGCCTATTTCAACCCTAAACATTCCTATTTCACCGAGGGTGTCAAGATGACTCCTGACCCTTCTCTATATTTGTTCGTGGGGCAATGTTATACCTCTTCCATCACCAGCTTTCTCCTAACACAACAGTTACTGCTTCACATTGCTACACATGACACATCCCTTCTTAGATTCTGAAGTACACATTTTCTCATCTTTCAAATATCTAAAATAATTGTAACATATCTTTAAAATTAGATATCAACAGTCCTAGCTGGTTTGGCTCAATGGATAGAGCATCAGCCTGCAAACTGAAGGTCCCCAGATTTGATACCAGTAAAGGGCACATGCCCACGTTGTGGGTTCCATCCCCATTGTGGGGTGTGCAGGAGGCAACCCATCACTGATGCTCTCTCATCATTGATGTTTCTCTCTCTCTCCCTTATTCTCAGAAATAAATAAAAAATACATTTTAAAAAGAAATTCTTTAAAAACAACAACAACAACAAAAAAATAACCAGGTGTCAACAATTGTTTTATAATAGAAGTACACATTTAAGGATCTTTTTCCCTGAAATTATACTTCTTAGTATGTTAAATCAAGGAAATGAGATATTTATTAATACTGCTGCTATAGGGGGCAATTCTACCTTAAAAAAAAGAAAAAAATAGATGCTATAAAATCTAATTGAAATATACATGCCTTAAGTACATTTTAAATATCACAATTAAGTGCCTAGGCAACTTCGAGTAAACACAATTGTGTTCTTCCGCAAAGGAATATTTTTATTTCAAAGCGTCTATTTGGAAGGTACTTGCACCATTTTCAGGGCTGACTTAAACCTTTCGATACAGTGATCAAACTTGTTCTCGTGGTAATGTATATATATAGGCTGCCTGGAGTTCTAAGTATGACTTAAATAGATTGGCATATATTGGGTGCTTCAAAGCAAATTTCCTAAAGCTCCTGAATGAAATGTACTCTGAGTTCCGCTTCGCTATTCCCGGAAAGAGACCGGAAACATCCAGGTGGGTCACCCCGAACGCTGCCTGAAGTATAGCGGCGAGCTCCGATTGCGTTATGTAACCATCCTCGTCCATATCAAAAAGCTTGAATGACATCCGCAGGATCTTGTCCGTGTTGGCAGGATTGCACAGGACAGCCAGCCCTACCACGTACTCCCTGAAATCTATGCTGCCGTCGTTGTTCCTGTCGAAAAGGGCGAAGAGTTGTCGGAAGGGCTCTGAAATGGGGAGTTTCAGGTAACTTGCGAACTCTTCGATCCCTATCTTCCCTCCTTTGGAGGCAACCGCGATGGCAGCGTACTCGTCCAGATGCTGGTGAATGCTATCCCAGTCTAACTTCAGCTTCCGGCTGATTTTGGTGAATTCCACCAAGCCCGCTTCCATGGGCAGCTGCAGGTTGCCTGCGCTGATCATCAGCTTGCAGTCCTCGAAGGTGTGGTCAGTCACGGGCACGCCCAGGGCGTTGGCCATGTTGACCCTCACCGCGTTGGCAAAGAGGATGGGGTCCTTCTTCTCCTGGTCGCTCGGGGTGTACACGGGCATGAACTCGACTTCCACCCTGGTGAAGAGCTGGCTCAGGGTCAGCATGCACAGCTGGAAGGCCGTGAAGCCCTGCCAGGTCCAGGTCACCGTGTCCAGGCTGTTGGGGTACCGGAGCAGCACGGGCTGCACGGGGACCCCCGGCGAGAAGGCCCCCAGCTTAAAAGTGACCAGACACGTGCGGTTGGTGCACACGCCCTCCGGGAAAATCATGATCTGCGGCCACTCCGGCTGGGCGGACACGCGCTTCAGGATCTCGTCCCGGGTGGTCTTCCTGGAGTTGGGGTCCTCCCGAGTCACCAGCACCGGCTGGGTGCTCAGCAGGAACTTCCCCGCTATCGGGATGCGGGCGTTCTGGCTCGCCGAGACCACGGAGGGGATCCCGGCCACCACGCAGGCGATGGCATCGAAGAAGGAGGAGTGCGGGGCGGTGACGAAGATGGGGGCCTCGCTCCACCTGGCCTTTTTCCCCTTCACTTTCACCAGGAAGCCCAGCACCAGGAAGCACGTGCGGAACAGGAAGCGGAGGGGCCGCTGCACCAGCTCCCTCCGCCAGCTCCGGGCGGGCTGGCCGCGGCGGGCCGAGTGGCCCAGGGTGGACAGCACGGTCACGGGCCAGAGGATGGCGAAGAGCACGGCCATGCAGGACACGCGCACCGGCACCAGCACGGTGCCCAGCAGCAGCAGGGAGGCCCAGCGCCACGCGCTGATGTGCGTCTGCTGCAGGAACGGGTTGGCCACGGCGGGCGGGTACAGGGACTTGCTCCGCAGCAGCCGGCTGCAGGCCTCCCACGAGTCCGAGTCCGAGGAGGACGGCCTCTGGGACATGGGGCCGAGTCCTCGAGGGGGGGCTTAGGAGGCCAGCCCCCAGAGCGGGGACCTGGGCCGGCCCCCAGAGCGCACGCCGTCCCCCTCCTGCTCTTTCTGGTCACACATCATTAGAACTTAGAGGCAATTGTGTGTTAATAGGGCGTGATGTAGTACCTTTAAAACCCCAAAACATGTTAAATGGTAAACGGTGTTGCAGGAGGGTTAGGATCGTATCAACGGGAGAATAGTCTTTGCTTTTTGTAAACATATATATATATGATGTTTATATATATATATTTATATATATTTATATTTATGTTTTTATATATAATTATTTTCACATAACAATTGCTGACGTTTATATTAAGCACATAGTCTATAGCTACCAGGGCTATGTTCATTTAAATAGATGAGCCTTAAAGACAATTTTTACTGTGAGATGCTGTGGCAACTGGTAAGTCAAATTCATTTTCTCTCCCTACAGCTGATTTCTACAGAAACCGTCGCATCTCTTTATGTTCTCTGGTTTAACTGGTGGCACCCTTGAGCCTTTATCTTTTACAAACACTCTTCTACAGCCATTGAAAATTAGACCATATCCATGATCATAGGCCAGAATTAGCCATGGAACGTTTGCTTCATACTCTTAATACTATTCCACACGAACCAATCAGCATTTCAGACGTGCATAAGGAACAATAGCAAACCTTGCGATTACCTTTGTCAGTAACAAGTTTTCATTAAAATACATCAGGATTATTTCATTGCGCCAACCATGGTCAGCATCCTGTCTCTTCCCTTTATTGCTTTCTTTTGGAAATTATCAGTGGGAAGCATTCTCAAAGCTGGTGTGAACCAGGCTCTCTCTATACTTTGTAGCATTTGCAACTCTGACAGTGCTCTATCGAATATTCCTGTGTTCACTAATTGCTAAGTTAAATTCATTTTCTTAGAGTTAAAAGTCGAACTGAAGGTTTCTGAGATATGTTTCTATTTCTTGGAGCATACCAGGTTTGCTCCATGACCCTTCAATCTGCAGGCCAGTGCTTTAACCACTGAGCCAAACTGGCTAAGGCAATATGACTAATCTTTCCTATACATATGTCGACACCAGAGCCTGTTAAACAGAATGTGATCTGGGTAAAGATGATGGGTTTACAACCAGATGGATCTAGTTCAGATCCTGGTTCCAACACTGTGGTCATTGGCCAACCTCATTTTCACATCTGTAAGTTGTTGATACTCCCTACCTGGGAATGTTGGTATGAGGCACAAGTATAATATATATATAGAGAAAAGTGGGCTTTTATTAGGAAATACAAGTTGTTAGGATCCAATGATGAGAATTCTTAGGGACATTCCTCTTTCTTCTGTCACTATCAGAACTATGCTTAGGGAGGGAAACATTCCTGTCACCAAGGAAACACAAAGTAGTCTCTAAGGGCCATGGCCTGGCAACAGCAGTAGTTGTTTCCTTTGCCAGAGCGACCCAAGAGAATGAGTAGTCCCTTGAGCTAGTATTGTTCTCTATTCTGTAACTCTTCCCACCTCTATTTGTATTTTCATCACTATTCTTGAACCCTTGTTTAATTAACTGCATTCTGTAAGGGAAAGTTCTATATCATCATGACATATTTCCTTTATATTTCTCCCACAGTGGGAAGATATTTATTAATTAAGCAGTATTTGAATTCCCACAATGAACCAGTCCCTTTTTCTAGATGCTGGAAAACAATAAAAAGTCTCTGCCCTGGGGAGCTTAGAGTCTAGCGCACAGAGGAAGACAGTATTCAGTTCTTGTTGCCTGGAGTGGGGCCAACTGACACTTTGATACTTTTTCTAAATCTTTCACCAATTTAGCTGGAGAATTAAGGCAAATAATTTAATGCATATGCTTTCCTACTTTGCAATTATTTATATATTCATATCATCTCTTTTTAATCTTCCCAGTATAAGTAGTAATTATGGTCTGTTTTAAGAGTGTATACTAGTATTTATCCAATCATATTTGCCTTCAAACTAATAAATATACTCTAAATACAAGAAACCTGTTAGTAGAAAATTTTAATTGTTAAAAAAAATAGTTAAAACTTTTGAACAATAAAATAAAAATTTATACCATTGCAGGTTTGCCTTTTAATATGGCTAATCTTTTTATTTGTTTGTTGTTGTTAATCCTCATCTGAGGATATTTTTGCCATTAATGTTTTAGAAAGAAAATGGAAGGGATGGGAAGACACAGAGAGAGAAACACAGATGCAAGAGGGAAACATCAACTGGTTGCTTCCCACAGGTACCCCAACTGGGGCCGGGAATTGAACCTGCAACTGAGGTATGTACACTTGACTGGAATCAAACCCGGGACCCTTCAGTCCGTGGTTGACACTAACTACTGAGCAAAACTGGCTACGACAATATGACTAATCTTTAATACAATATATGTAAAAGGCACCATATGTTAACAGGGTAAAGAATGCAAAAAACTTGCCCTAGCTGTTTTGACTCAGTGAATCAAGTGTCTACCTATGAACTGAAGGATCCTGGGTTCGATTCCAGTCAAGAGCATATCAGGTTTGCTCCATGACGTCAATCTGCAGGCCAACGTTTTAATCACTATGCCTGGGTTGCAGGCCTGATCCACAGTAGGGGGAGTGCAGGAGGTTCTCTCTCATCATTGATGTTTCTGTCTCTCTCTCCTTCCTCCCTGAAACCAACAAAAATATATTGTGGGGTGGGGGTGGGGGTGGGGGGGAATGCAAGAAACCAAAACTAGCCGCTCTACACAACTTTCTTTTTGTACAAGTGTGTGCATTTTAAGGCAGGTGATTTTCTGTGTAAAATACAATAGAGGAAAATCGACATTATATTACAAGTTCACACACATTCTCAGATTTTTTTTTTTTTCCAGTAATAGTTGTCAGGATATTTATTGATGATAAAGCAGGTGAAAGCAATGTTTTCCTAGTGAATCTCACAGAAGTTGATGAACAATTTTAAAAATATATTTAGAGATTTTATTACCGACCTCCCATAGCAGATAAAGACAAGTCAATCTTTTTTCCTGGTTTCTTCTTTTAGAAATGTCCATATCAATTTGTTCACTATGTCAGGTTGTTCTTGCTGAAGCCAATGACTGGCTTCTGACAAAATAGTTAGCCTGAAATAGTTTTTAACATAATTCTTTGTGACTTCAGCCATTTCAACCTCCATAAATGCGTCTTTGTCTCCCCACAGTAGTAGTGTTGGAGTGGTCACCGTGTGATGTTTGAGAGGCAGGCAGCTATAAAAACAAAACACGTGGGCTTGAGACTCATTTTAAAAGCTAATGTAACTTTTTTCATAATGTTCCTTTAGGCCACACATTCTCAAAGGCGGCTAATATTGCCACCAAAGGGGTGACAATTGGCTCTTAAAAGATTGAAAAAACATCTGACTCTACACATAAACCACGGATATACGTACAGTACATAAGCAGATATTAAAATTTCATGGGGCGGGGGCAATTGGGGAAAAATGTCTACAAAGGCTCCTTAGGGAGGTGATGATGAAAAACATGGCTGAGAAACACTGCTTTAGGCAATCTATACAATAAAGTATTTAAACAGCCATTTAAGAAAAAAACCAATAAAAATTTTTAATTGCAGGAGGCTAGCAAAATTTATAATGATACCTATAAATTATATACAAAATTCATTATTATGAGGAATAATTTGCTTTAAAAAGACACCAAAATTTCTGAATGGTGTGATGAAGAGAGCTTTAAATAGTGTTTTTGTTTAAATATATTTTAAATTGTTTGTTAGATAAGTTACAGCATTTTGAGAGAAAATTGGAACTAGAAAGTCAGAAAATATAGGGTGTCTCCCCCCAAAAAAGGCACTTTGAATAATTAAAGGCAGTGTTTATTAAAATACATTTCATTTTCAAAATTGAGCTATCAGCTGTTAAAGTGTATATGCATTTTGGGGGACACCCTGCATATATGGACTTAGCTTTCATACTATATGACACTATATTTATTTTGCAAAAAGAATCTTTTTAAAACAAAGTTTTATTATAAATTTTCTTAAATACAGAAAAGTATAAAGAATAAAATCATGCATGGTTCCATCATTAAAAGATAATCTTTGGTCATTTTCTATGCATATATTTAAACCCATACTATGAATACAAGGCAATAAATATACACAGTATACATATTCAAATTTTATATTAAACTATAACTTAAGATCATTCTCATTTCATAAAGTTTTTCAAAGGTAATTGTAAAAGATACTATTGTACAGCATAATAACCCAAAAATGACTTGACTATTTTCTTATAATTGAATTATTTAGATCATTGCATCACTTTAAACATCCCCTTATTTTAAGTGATGATATTATGAGCATTTTGTGCACAGTGGATCTTTGTTGGTATTTCAGATAATTTCTTTGGGTAGCCTTGAAAGAGGAATTCTTTAGGTAAAAAGTATAAGTACTTTTAAAGTTTCTGATACCTTTTGCTACACTGCTTTTCAGAAAGGTCGGATGGTATTAATTACATTCTTGCAGAGAAGAATGAGAAAGAACATCTAGCTACACACCCTCCAGCACTGACGAATATTTTCACTACTTATCCAAAAGTTTGACTTGTGGTCACTCGGGGCTGGTAGATGCTGCTGGGATGTGCAGGATATAACATATGCCCACCAAGGACTTATCTTTTAACGCCCATGCAAGTGGCCATCATTTGGCTGTAATGCTCCTAAAAATTCTTTGTGAATGGCTGATAGAGAAATATATTCTATACTTAATTGCTATACAATTGCTTAATTGCATGCCACTTAAGTTCTAGAGCTCATAAAATATTCAAAGGTAAACCATTTTTTAACAGTTATCTGCATAGCTGAGCATGTCATAACACAATCAGTAAGACAAGGGGCGTTTTAAAAAGCTATTGGTCAAAAAACAAAGAGAAACATAAATTCTTCACCAGATCAAATTAAAATTCCAGAAAACTAAAAAAAACACACATATTCTCTGGTCCTGAGAATTCAAACTGCTAAATTTTACATGAATTACAAGTTACATGTAAAACAAAGAAGGTATAACTTTGTGACTACAGTTACTAATATTGATTGCTTATTTGAAAGTGGCTAAGAGCGTAGATCTTAAAAGTTCTCATCACAAAAAAACTAAATTTTATGATGATATGTGGTAATGAATGTTAACTACTTATTGTGGTAATGATTTTGTGATATATGGAAATATCAAATCATTTTGTTGTATACCAAAAGCTAATATAATGCTACATGTCACTTGTACCACAATAAAAATACGTAATAAAATAAAACATAGGAAAACATTAAATTTTTTAACAAAATTGGTTTTAGTATGTTAAGCTAAAGAATTTATTGGGAAACACAATAACAATTTCTGATTATAAGTGATTTGATTAAGTATAGAAACAATTTAAAAGATCTACAAAACTGTAACAAGGAGTAACAATTATTGCTCTACATTCTTAATTTTTTAACCTATGAAAATATATTTAACATACTTATTCCAAATCAATCTGAATTTAACATGTTACTCCTTCAGAGTCTGAATAATCAGATGATTTGTAAGTATGAAGGCAGCATTTTCCATTACTTTTGTATGTGAAAATATTTCATTAGTTTGATTTAAAAAGATAATGTAGAAAATAATAACACTCACCACTCAGCTCAAGAAATAAAACACTGTCCTGGTTGGCATGGCTCAGTGGTTGGGGCATCAGCCAGAGTACCAAAGGGTCATGGATTTGATTTCTGGTCAAAGGTCGGCTCTGGCATATGCGTATGTGGGAGGCAACTAATCAATGTGTCTCTCTTACATTGATATCTCCTTATCCTTCTCTCTCATCCTCTCCCTCCTTTTCACTCTCTCTAAAAATCAATGGAAAAATATTCTTGAGTGAGGATTAACCAAAAAATCCTATATAATGAATGCCTAATATGCTAAGTGTCCAGTCGTCCATTCAACCAATCAAAGTGCAACCGATTGCTATGATGTGCACTGACCACTAGGGGCAGATGCTCTGACCAGTAGGTTAGCTTGATGCTGGGGTCTGGCTGATCAGGACTGAGTGAGATGGGCCCGACATGCCCTAGAGCCTTCCCAAAGTCCCTCCCTGGCTGGCCAACCTCCTACATCCCTCCCCGGCCCTGATCATGCACTGGTGGGGTCCCTGGGCCTGGCCTGTGCCCTCTCGAAATCCGGGACCTCTTGGGGGTTGTCGGAGAGTCAGTTTCAGCCTGATCCTGCAGGCCAGGACTAGGGACCTATTGATGCATGAATTTGTGCACCGTGCTTTTAGTAATAAATAAAACACTGAAAATATAATTAGATCTTTCTGCTTACCTTTCCTTGATTCTGTTTCTTTTCTTCATCTCACCCTAAGGCAACTGTGAACTTGCCAGAAATGCCAATTATTTTTTAAAAAGATATTGTTATTGATTTCAGAGAGGAAGGGAGAGAGAGAAAGAAACATCAAGGATGACAATCATTGATCAGCTGCTTCCTGCATGCCCTCTACTGGGGACTGAGCCTGAAACCCTGGACATGTGCCCTGACCAGGAATTGAACCATGACCTCCTGGTTCATAGGTTCAATTGTGACTCAACTACTGAGCCACAGAAATGCCAATTTCTGGGCCCTATCCCAGGTTTACTGAATCAGAAACTCTCAGGGTGGGGTTGAGCCATTTATGTTTTAACAAGCCCTCCAGATGATTCTGATACAAACTAGAGTGAGGAGCCACTGCCTTAGGAGCAAGGTCTAGGTTGAATTTGGTTCTTACAACCCCCATGAATATTTTTAAAGTCATATGTGTTAGGATACCTCTACCCCATTCCTCTGGCTCCTTAAGGAGAGGTTTTACTTAAGCCCTCCTGGATCTTGCCCCACACTTGATTGGTGAGTGACAGTTGTTGGTTCTGGGTTTTGGGCTGGTGGGTCTATTCAAATGCTATGTCCTGAAGATAGGAGATTTAATTCGCTCCGCAAGCTTTCCTACGGGCAAACTGCTCTAAAGTCTCCACTGGCAGTAGGGAATTAGCAAAACCATTTCAGTTTCATAGTAAGCCATGGCCTTCACGCTATCCTTTGTCAGTAATGCAGGTGACATTTTATTTTTCATCTACCGACTCGGGATTGATTTCTCAACTAGTTCAGATATTAGGCAGGAAATGGGGTCTACTTGTCAGATGCCTCCAAATACAGTATATATGTTTCTGTAAACAATATATAGAGAGGTGTTTGGCATTTTTAAAACTTTATTAAATAGCATATTGCACATATCCTCCCACAACTTACTTTTGTGCCTTAACATTACATTTTTTAAGATTTATCCATTGATGATACATGTAGTTCTTCATTTTCACTCTTGTGTAAAATTCCATCATATGACTATACCACAATTGATGCATTCGCCTGTTAATGGACATTACAATTTTTCCAATTATTTTGATAATTCAAATGATATTGAACTCATCCTTGTACATGTCCACTTGTGCACATGTGGAAGAGTTTCCCCACAGTCCATCCCAGAAACACGATGCTTCCTCAGAGAGTAGCAAGTCTTCCATCTTACTCGATATTGTCAAGTTGTTTTCCAAACCGACTGAATGCTTCACAAGCAGCATATGAGAATGCACTTTGCTCCACATCATGGCCAACAGTTGTTCTCAAAAGTTTAATTTCCCCCCCCCCCAATCAAATGAGTGTGAAATACTCTTCATTTACTTGATGTGGCAGAGATTGCTTCCCCAAACTTCTTCCCTTCCACTCTAGTGATAAAGCCCCCAATTTTTAGCTGGACAAAAGGCCAACAGAATAAAGGCTGACTACATTCCCCAGGCTTCTTGCAGCGAGGATATTATGAGAAATAGTGTGTGTAACTTCAGAGTTGTGCCCATTCCCCAACTCTGCCCACCCACTGCCACTTCTCTTTTCCCAGTTTATACTGACTAACACGCAGGTGTGGTGGAAAACCATGCTGGTCCACACAAAGAAGGGCAACACTGTAGGAGTGGCAGAGAAACAAGACCGAAAGTGTGCAGGCCTCTGACCAAAGAGTAACAATAACTTTGATGATTTCATGGGACCCAGCCACTATACCAGCCTAGACTTTCTCTGTGAGAAAAATAAATTCTATCTCTTTTTATGCTACTTTAGATCTCTGTTACAAGCAGTAAAACTATGTTCTATAGCTGACTGCTAGTAAGGTTGACCATCTTTCATGGTACTGACCATTAGA